CTGGAAGCATCTCAGAATATCTTTACCACATTCTCCTCTTTTGTCAAATCGTTCCTTTTTCCCAGTTTCTCATTTCATAGGTTTGAAACTGAAGCTATTTAGAGCCTTCCCTTTCCCTTGCTTCTCCCTAAATATATTTTAGGGCTGCCAGTAGGGTTAAGGAAATACACAGACATCCCCTTATGGGGAAAATGGGAAAACACATCCCAGCTTCCTGCTTTTCTCTCTCCTCACAGCCAAACACATTTTGATTTTGTCATTGTTGTCTGGTCATTGTGGGGAAACAGAATGAAAACAGGCAAAAGAGAGCAAATCAATATGCTCCAAACCCACTTTTTTAAAATTAGGTTATTTAATATGGCCATGGGAGCTGGCAGTTCTAGGAGAGGAAGGTTTTCATATTATAAATGTTGGAAAAACTGGGAATCTGCTTCCCTTCACACTTCAGCAGTTCCCTTGGACACTTAAACCTGCAGTTGTATTTATTGCATCCCTCATTTCCTCATTTGTGTCTCATCCAGGGATGATACTCATCAACAATTGGGGGCTTGCTTTCCTGGCCAACACACCTAAGGGACTGTAAGTATAAATATAAAAAATAAAAATAAATAATAGGAATAATTGCTGACAGTCTGTGGGTGTTACACAAGGGAATCCCCATGCTGGGATGAACAGGAACTGCTAGATTTGGGATTTCTGGGGGAGATCCAGCAGGGTCATTCAGGTGAGTGAACTCCAGGGCAGACTGTTCCCACCTTGCTCCAGAACCATGGAAATGGCAGGATTGAAGGAATCTCTGCTGGATGCTGGTTCCCACTGAACCTTCAGAGTTCTCCCTGGTGGGTAAAGAATTGACAGAACCACGGAATTCCAGCCTGGGTGGGGTGGGAAGGAGCTTAAATCTCACCCTGTCCCCTCCACCACCGTCCCAGGCTGCTCCAAAGCCCGGAGTTCCAGGAGAATGCAGAACTTTGGGGAATCCATCTGGGAGCAGAGTGAGGGAGCAGATGCAGCTTCCAGAGCCTGAAGGGGCTCCAGGAGAGTTGGAGAGAGGCTGGGGACAGGGGATGGAGGGACAGGACACAGGGAATGGCTCCCACTGCCAGGGGACAGGGATGGATTGGGAATTCTGGCTGGGAGGGCAGGGAGGGGCTGGGATGGAATTCCCAGAGCAGCTGGGGCTGCCCCTGGATCCCTGGCAGTGCCCAGGGCCAGGCTGGACAGGGATTGGAGCAGTCTGACAGTGGAAGGTGTCCCTGGAAGGTTCTGGAAAGGACACGGACTTGAGGCATTTTGTGAACCAGCAAGGAAGGGTTGGACAAGTCTCATGGAGTTCAGAATTAATGGTAAGAGAATTCTATAGGTGGGAATTCTGTGTCCTGTCAAACAGGGATTTCAGGACAGTCACTCTTGCTTTACACTCAGGAGCCAGAATTTGGCCCAAAGAGCCCGGCAGGAGCTGCTGGAGCCCCTTCCCTGAGGGTCAGGCTCTGCTCGGGGGGGCTGGGAGCTGCACTCTGGGACTAATTCCTCCTGCAAGACCCATTGAATTCCAGAGCAATTCACTAAGGAAGAGCTGAATTGCTTGGCAGGATAATGGGGGCAAGAAAGAACTCGGCAGGAGGGTGAAACCTGGCAGGTTTCTTTGACCAGAAGAGTCCCAAATATAACAAGTGAACCAAAATTCCCTCAAGAACCATAAATAAGGAACTGAATCCCTCACTCCAGGCTCATCTGCTCAAGATCTGCTGCTGGTGTGTGTTTGAAAGCCAAGATCCATCCTCCCAACACCAGAATAGTGTTAGAGCCCTGAGCCACGAGCTGCTGAGGAGCACAGAAATAATGTTGTTATTGGAGTTGTGCTAATTCCATCTCGTGTCATTACCTTGCTCAGTCTGGGGGAAAAGGATTCTTAAAGGATGGGGGTTGCTCTTTAGGGGGAGAGTGTTTGTGTGGGTTTATTGCTGCTGGGTTTTAAACGTTATGGATGATGTTGGTAAACTCATAATAAGTGGAAAGTGGTTTTACTTCTTTCCCTGCAGCTTTTGCAATTATTGAAATGCAGAGGTTACGATGTAATTTGTTAAAATCTCTTCTGAGGGATGCAGAAGGAATTATTCCAAGTGACTCAGACCTGCTGAGACTGGAGGAGCTTTTCAGAAAGGTTTGGGAGTGTCTGAGCGAATCCGAGAAGGCCCTGCTTAAATAATGAGCTGTTAATTGCAAATTCATGATCAGCACCAGGAGTTTTGGCCATTTTCTGGAAACTGCCTCCCCTCATTTGTTCCTGTCTCCCATGGGAGGTGGTTTATCCAGAGGATGGATCAACAGACCCTTGGCTGTTGGTTATTCTGATTTCAGGTTCCCAATTTGCCAAGCGAAAAGGTGGTGCTGGGGTGAGGAGGTGAAAATCCATGGGTGTGGAAAGGTTAAAGATGGGTGGGAAGGAGCTCTGGAATTTGGGAATTACAGGAGTCCTTCGGCATCGTCAGACATTTCTGGGAAACCCAGCCCTCCCTGTCCACCCCTAAAAACAAACCAGAACCTTTCAAAAAGCTCCTTGAGCTGGTTTGGGAGAGGATTTCAGGACGGTGAGGGAAAATCATGGGATGTGTCTCTCTAATTCCTGCTCCCTGCAGGCTCTGGACACGTGTGAGCACAAGGACTCCCAAAATCCACGGGAGCTTCTCTTTGGGCAGCTCCCACGGCCCCCTGGGCTCGGGATTGACGTGCAGAGATTGGGGGGAGCACCAGGGGCGTCCCCACAGCCCCGTGTCCCTGCAGGATCCAGCTCCTGCACGGCTCCTTCCCCTCCAGGGAATTTGGGAATACCCATGGGGAACCTGTCAGCGTTAGGAGCACACACCATCACAGGATAGGATTCTCTGCAGGTGCTTTTATTGAGAGCTCTGGGAATCAGGGGTACAGACCCAAATCTGACTCTGACACGGCTTTTGAGCTGAACTTATTTTATATTCTATTGTTATATAACCTACATATGAATTATTAAACTCATACTGTTCTATTGTATACATTGACATGAGTTTCTCGTGATCTTTCTTAGGCCCCTGACCACAGTTTCTCATGATTATTCTTAGGATTAAACAGTAATTATATTTAATTACAAAACAATCATCACATCTAACAATTATATCATTTATCGTGTACTGGCTACACAGGTGCAGTTCTAGCAAGGCCTTCATGTACCCAGGGTATTTATTTTTTCAGGGCCTACTAAGCTTAATTTTCCTTTTAACCCTAAATCCCTGTGATTTTAAAGCCCTTTTATTATCAAACCCCCTGAATTCACCATTCCATCTCACCCAGGCTGGTTAAGACACAAACGCCCTAAATGTGATTTTAATCCTGATTTATGCAGCTCATCCCATTCAGATTTGGGGGTGTGGGTGTTTTTGAGGGAGGGGAAGCACCAAAGGGGTTTTTTTCCCTGGCCAGAGCTGTTCTCACAGCATGGCTGCTGCCCTAACTCAGGGTCCGGGGATATTTTACAGGATATTTTGCTCCCTGTTTCTGTCACATTTTCCCATGGGACAGCTCCAGCGCTTTGATGAGTGAGAAGCTGCATTTTCCAGTAAAATTTTAGGGATTGGTCTGAGAGTTTTGCTCCTCAGCAAAGAGGGTGGAACTTGAACCCTCAATCTGTGGTTTTTAGACATAAATGTGAACCAAATGAAGAGATTTGACCTAAAAGGTGTTTAGGGGAATTCCCTATCCAATAATCAAAGTTTAAATGTGGAATTTACTGCTTCCAAAAAGTGTTGAGTTGTGCATTGTACAGCAAGTGGTGTGCTAAAATATTTCCTTAAGGAGAAAGAAAAATAAATAGAAAAGGAAAAAAGAGGAGACAGAAAGGGAAAGAAAATGGGAAAGGGAAAGAGAAAGAGATGGAAAAGAGAAAGGGAAAGAGAAAGGGAAAGGAATGGAAAAGAGAAAGGGAAAGAGATGGAAAAGTGAAAGGGAAAGAAAAGGGAGAAGAGAAAGGAAAAGAAATGTAAAAGTAAAAGGGAAAGAAAAAGGAGAAGAGAAAGGGAAAGAGATGGAA